TTAATATAGACATAGTTTTGTAGTTATAGAACTACATCTATATGAGAGGAAATTTATAGGACTAATAAAGGACACAATACAAAAATACGAGCATAAAATACAAATTTCTATTACTTTTAAAAGTTCAAAAATATCCATTATATTGTAGAAATTAATCTTGGTGGTCATCTACGTAGATATACGAAGTACGTAGTATGTCTTTTCATATAATTTTTATTTATTTTATTAATAAAATATATTTTAATTTTTTTCTCATAAATCAACAAAATCAGCCAATTTAGACACTTCAGTCAAAACTTTATAAATTTTAGCAGAATTCAAATTTACAATGTCCATGAATTACATCTCATGTAAGGCACGGGTGAAATACTAATTTTTCATTGTGTGATCAAGCGTCTGTATGACTTTGTCACCATTCTACACTAATATTTCATTCAAATTCTTTTGTGTAGCTTCCTTCCTAAGTACGAGTATAAATTATATAATCCACATGGTGTAACATTAAAATTATTGAAACGAACACCATAGATCTATTAAGAAAGAGAGCTACTAATCAAATAAGCAGTTGAGCATACAGTACAAACTAAAAATTGGATGCATGATTTAATTTGTCTAATGAGCAAAATTGTTTTTAGAAAGATTATTTATAAACAAATCGTGCATTTCATTCGAGAATACCAACTTACAGGGGTATGTATCTATTGTCGGTAAACATGCAGCGGGATGAGATATTTATAAATATCGGAAAGGATGAGGAGGAAGACAAGCAAGGTCAATCATTGTCCTGTGGAGACGGGCAAGATCGATCGCGCCATATAAGCAGTCCGACGGGGATGAGAAGAAATTCTAGCTAGCAAGGTTGCAGGGGCGGAGCCAGGACACTGGGCCGGACTGGGCCGGTACAAAGAATATTTTTGGAAAAAAATTTAAACGGAATTTTTTACACTAAAAATATAGAGATTTTTAAAATTTAGGCTGGGCCAGGGCCAGGGGTGGCCACCCCCTAGCTCCGCCCCTGCAAGGTTGATCGACCTAAGTCCGGAAAAGAAGGGGAGGAAGATCGAAGATAAAGGTGTGAAAGAAATTGAGTATACTCCGTCAACTAGCTTATTTATGATCGACACTCCACTTAATGGATGAGACTTTGTAGATGGATTAGGGGCGGAGCCAGAACTTAGTTAAAGCGGGGGCCAAAAATGGACAAAAATAATAGTGAAAAAAATTCTTAAAAAAAACTAAAACAATAGTAAAATTCATAAACATGACCATTATTGTTTAATTCTTAAAATAGAACACATTCGATTTAGGCAAATTTTGATCAACTTATTCTTTTAGTAGGATTAAATAAGTTCTTTGTAAGTAAGAAAACATATTTAGTCCCATTTCGAAAGATAATTATACAAATTGTCCTATGTTGGTAACAATAAAGGAAAAAAGAATTAGTTCAAAAGTAAGTATAAAAGTTGTCCTATGTAGTTAAAACATAATCAATTTTTTTCTTTCGAATAACACCTAATCAATTATTTATTGCATTCTTGTTAATATATACGTAGTATGATAAATTAATACTTCGTACGTATTTTGTCTTCCGTATTACTTCATGCTTGATTAGACTTCCTATTTTTTCCTCCTTCGTTTGAGCCTCGCTGAATCGACGGGAAAATGGCAAGGCCGGCCCGGCGGCCCCTTCTACCCCCTTCTATACCTATCTCGTACAGCTGAAGCAGGGGCACCGGTCCCCCTGGCCCCCTTGCAGATCCGCCCCTGGATGGATAGGCTGTATTTGTTTAGGGGCAAAACATAAACGCCTCATAAGGCATTTCAAACCTGACGCAGCCCAGAACTCGACGAAATCTCCATCGAAATCATTTGAAGAGCCCAAGGGGGGTACAAGAAGGGAAAATAAAATCAAAATTACCTTGAGAACGGCTGGAGCGAGTTGGGAGCCTTATCGGCGAGCTGATTGCAGAGCGACGGAGATTCTAGAGCGAGAAAGTAGAAATCGGGACCCCTAAGCCTCTGGGAAATCCTGGTATTTATAAGGGAAGCACCGTTTCGTAAAACCAATAGGGAAGTGACGCGTGGCGAGGAGCGTACCCAGGAGTACGCGTCACGCGTGGAGTAATGAATATAATGATGATGACCTTTCCTTGGGAATGAACCGTCTCTTCGGCAACCATCACCTCGATTCCTGGACCATCGACAATTAAGAAACTCCGCGCCATGAACGTCTCACCCCTGAGGAGTAGATATACTTCTTTATGTCTCGCGCATGCTCGGAACATCAGAAGTGGGGGACTTGTGTTGGGTTAATGGCCCAAATAAGGGGTCAACCCATTCACCCCCTCATTCAGACGAGCGTCCATCCCAACAAAGTAGCCCACCCCGACGAACGTCCAAGTGGGATAATGATGGATCAAACCCGCGGGTAAACACAGTGGCAACGAACGTCGCCACCTAAGGCCGCTGCCACTTGATGCCAACCCAATCTGTGTGACAAATCCTCTAAGGGCCAGAATACGAACGGCCCACGACCCTTTGCAGTATCATCAGGAGCAGGCTCCCGGCCCAGCTGGACGTCTGTCTCCACTAGTTAGGCGGGAAACCCAGATTCTGGCGGGAGGAACATTTAATGCTGAAGATTTGGTTGTTGGGACACCAGCCACTTACAGCCTTACACGTCAGCATAGCCAACCGCCCATTGACGGTATAAATAGCAACATTTATTTCATTGTAAAGGGTTGACAACTTACTATACTTAGCACTCTAGCTTATTTCCTTCTTACTCGCAGCTCATCTACTGCAGTGTAAGACGAACGGCCTTCGGCTTTAGCAAAAGTATTGTATCGGGGCGTTATTTATCATTAATAATATCTGGTCCTTTACTGCTTCTTACTCTCTTAATCCATCTTATTTGCCTGTTGGGTCAGTTAATCACTCACACTTAAATCATCCACTCGAAATCCTTGGGCTTACGTGTTGGACCCAGGGGTTGAAGGAATAAACCTCAACAGCATTGATATGACATTTTACATATGAGCATAAAATCAATACCAAACGAGCTTATGTGACTTACACAATGTGCATTGATATGAAAACTGTAAAGTTTGTTAGTTGAAAATCACAACATTCATGGTTTCTATTAAATGAGCATTAATGAACTTTTACTGAGCATCAGACCAATTCGGTTGAGTATTAGGAGTGTGATATTGAGCATCGAGATCTCTGCTTCATATCTTATACTACCTCCGTTCTCTTTTAAATGCAACATTAGACTTTTTGCACTATTCACATGTTCTACTTTGACTACGTTTTATTTATTAATGTAATAATATATATTTTTGAAAAAAATAATGTTAAATTTTTCTCATTATAAATTTTCAGAATCTATTTTTTAAACATTTTTTACTAATCGGGAATTATATATATTAATGGTCAAAGTTGTGCCTCGGCCAATTGTGAAATGTTGACTGTTGCATTTATTTAAGAACGGAGGAAGTATTCACTTTCTTTTTCTTATTTTTTCTTTTATAAAAATCATTAAATTATATCTATAATCAACTCCTATGAAACTTCAATATGTGAATATAATATGATATAGTACATTTGAAATATGCATTGATATGACATTTTAAAAATGAGCATATATGAGTATAAATTGAGCATATGTAACTTAGAAAATGAGCATCTATATGAAAATCATAAGTTTTTTTAATTGAGCATCAAAACATTTTCATTGAGCATCAAATCTATTCTATTGAATATTAGAAACATGCAATCGAGTATCAAAGCATGTGCTCAATCTAGTGTGCATTGATATAATTAACATTTTAAAATGATCATAAATCCGTACCAAATGAACACAAATCAAGTACCAAATGAGCATACAAAATGTACCAAATGAGCAATAAAATGAAAATTAAAAAATTTCTTAGTTGAGTATCAAGACATTTTCATTGAACATCAAACCTCTTCTATTGAGTATTAGAAGCATTGAAATTAGTATCATAATCTATGCCCCCATGTGAATCTAATATGAAACATTTGAAATGTGCATTAATATGACTTTATAAAATGAGCATAAAACCAGTTTCAGATGAACGTGCGTAACTTACAAAATGAGCATAAAAAAATCAAAAACTCATTTGAATTCTCTAATGTGTTTAAATGTTCATTTTTGCACATGCATCATAATAACAAACATAATAATGACAAATATAATAATTTAATATTAAAAATAATTTATAGTCTTTCGCTTTAGACTTACAAATATAATCGGGTTCTTTTTTTAATAATGTCCATCTATGCATATTTATTTTACATTATAGTCATTTAAACTCATGTTAGTAATTAGCACATATGAAGTAATATTTAATAAACTAATAAATATTCTTCTTAAATTATAAAAAGAAATAAAAAATAATACTTTAAATATTCATCAGAAATTGAAAATTTGAAATCAATGAATAAGGTGGTTAAAAAAAGGAAAAAGAACTTGAAAAAAAAGGAAAAAGAAACAAAAAGAATCTATGTAAAAGGGAAAAGAAAAGAGACATAGTGCTCCCTCCGCTCACGCAGTCCACTTAGGGTTGGTTTACAACTACTTTTAAAAAAACACTTCCCAGCTTTTGGCTTTAAAAAAGCACTTATTTTCCCAAACACTACCACTTTTATTTTTCTCGGCTTCCGCGTCAAAAGTGCTTTTACTTTTTCTATTACACAAAAAACACTTATTTTACCAAACACTACCCACTTTACTTTTCAAAATCACTTTTTTCATAAACACTATCAACTTTTATTTAATCACTTCTCCCCATTTCATTAAAAAAATTCCTTTTTTAAAAGCAGAAGCTGTTACAAACAGACCCTTAGGAGTTACGACGAATTAAGTTGGCCGGCTAGGCTAAAGAGGCATAGTCCACTTACACAGGCAAGCAGGGAAGAACACACTGTCGGAAGAATCAGCAAAAAATTACAAATATAACAGGTGTATACGTACACCCGGGTGTACGGTATAAATTGTTATTATAATGTCCATGACTTCTACATTTCTTGTAAAAATTAATATCGGCAAAAACGTAATTGCTTTGGGACAAATCATAGTTATCGGGCACTATGATTATATTTTGCAGTTTTGCACAATAATTACAAACATGTTACTAACATTTATAACATGTTCACAAACATATAAGCTTTCCGTAACAATTACAATTGGTTACACACAAGTGATCGACACTTCAACTTCACCATGTTCGGGACCATACATGCTCTTGGTTTGAGTTCCATACAAACAATCAAAACTTACACTTCCCTTACCAATTTCCCCGTCCTTATTATCACACAGAGAAACACTAATTGTTATACCATTGTCCATTGGTACCACCACAATGGCACGAGTCAACACAATATGGTTCTTAGGGTAGATTTCAACACACTCGTCCAAAGGTTTATCAAGCAATGTGAGTGATGTAGATGAGCCTCCAATAAGTTGGGACGCCTTGATTGTACCATAAACATGTGCCGGGTTTTCTCCACCATCCTGGCTGTGATTGAGCAGAACCACCTTGAAAGTTGCACAGAGAGCGTAGGTCATGACGGAGAAACCCACCGCGGCACTGCCATGTTTTCCAGCCACAACCCTTTCCAAACGTTTGTTATAATTGGCAAAAGTTATGTCTTCTACTCTTGTTTCCCAAACAACATTGCCTTGCGCAATCTCGATGTCAGGATCCACCCCCGTAAATCGACACTAATAACGGACCAGTCGTAACCACTAACACCATAGTAACGGTCAGGGCCAATTAGTGTCAAATCATCTCCCGGACCTTTCTTCTCGGAGTCAGCTAAACTCCGGTCGTACGCCTTGTGCACGCCCATCCAGTCCTGGACATTCACTGTTCCGTACACGCCACCAACGATAGGTTTATCACCATCAACTTTCAACACACGTATGTACTCGATGCTCAGCATCGCACGATAATGTAAAACACCGTTCTCATCGGCCCGACTCATAATGTTGTCTGCATAAGAGTTGAGAGTCATTTGACATACTGATGGTATATTGATATTCACCTCAGACAACACTGTGTATTAGAAACTCATTGTTTACTAAAACAAAATAAACAGAGAGAAGTATATTAACCCCTCCAGATGCAGGTCCTTCAACCTCATCACTTGCCGGTTCAACTCAATTCAAACTGAGTCTATTAAAATTCCGGTCAAATAATGGCATCAGACCGGATAGATTACAAGTTCAACCGGCCGATCAGAAGCTGGAGGTCTCCCATCAGAACTTCTTTCAATAATCTTCAATTGACATGATTTTTATGAGCATCCACATTTAAAAATCCAACCTTGGACGAAAACTGAATAAAAAAGAAAATCAAAACTAGAAAACAAATTTAACTCACAAGGAGTAAATGGATATTGCAAATTTGCAAAAGAAATTCAAGCTATACATTAAATACCACAAATTTTGTGATCAATATACTCGCGATTCGAAAATAAACCGTTCAGAAGTAATAGGCATGACAATGGGTAACAAACTTGTTGACCCATGACCCGCCCCATGCGGGCGGGGCGGGTCCGCCCTGCCCCACCGCAACCTAATTAGCTAGTATGTATTTTTATTTGTGGGAAATTGTTACCAATTGAATCTACATAATGTTTATCTCTAAATAATAATTAAAAATCAATATATTAAATCAAATTCATGATACGCTAAAAATTTCAAAAATTAAGAAAAAATTACTCAAACTTGAATAGTTAATCTAATTAGTTATATTAATAATTGAATATATGTATTAAAATTCTATATATAAAGAAGACATTAATAATCCGTCGTGCATCTCATTCTAATATATATTCATATATTATAAGATCAAAGAATTTATGATTTATTGTATACACACATATGTATGTTGAAGTATATTTGTAGTATAATCTAAGAAAAAGTATGTATACTTATATATTGAGTGGGGCGGGGCAGCACAGGTCAATTCTAATGCCTGGACCCGCCCCATTGTATAGGCGGGGCGGGGCGGACCCGCCCCATTTGCAAGACGGGGCGGGGCGGACCCGCCCCAAATGTCGGGTCAGGGCGGGTCACTGCGGGTCGGGTTTTTTTGACATCCTAGGAAGTAATCGTATCTCAGCTGAAATCAAGAGATGTTTTTGTTCATATGAAATCGTACCATTGGTTGTGGCGAGAAATGGAGTCTGAGCAGCTACTTTGAAGCCGTGGAGACTGACGATATAGGTTATCCGATTGACGGACCACCTTTATAGTGCAAAACTGGAAAATAGTACCTCCGGACCGCGTCACCAGGTTAGGATGTTTTCTTTTGGACTGAAATTTGCTGGTCTGGTCTGGTCTGGTCTGTTTAAGTCTGGTCTGGTCTGGTCTGGTCTGTTTAAGTCTGGTCTGGTCTGGTCTGAACTGGTCTGGTCTGGTCTGGTAAACGTCTGGTCTCTGTGTATTTTATAACTACGGAAGTCTGGTCTGGTCTGGTCTGGTCTGTTTAAGTCTGGTCTGGTCTGGTCTGGTCTGTTTAAGTCTGGTCTGGTCTGGTCTGGTCTGTTTAAGTCTGGTCTGGTCTGGTCTGGGACTGAAAACAGTCCAAAAGAAAACATCCTTAGTGCCTCTTTTGGTTTCTCCTCCGACCTCCATATTGGTTTTTTTTTAATTAAATTAAATTCCTAATTTGAATTCACTAATGGGTTTTAAGAAAATTTATACTCCATTTTTTTATCGATGAAAATTAATCTATATATATATATATATATATTAAAACAGAAAAGTGTGGGGGAGTTTGGGAGGGAATTTGTATTCAAAATTCAAAAAACGTGCAAGAATATTATGTGCTGCTAAGGATAGCATTAAATGGAGAGAAAGGTATTAAACGTGTGGGATATTTGAGGTGTCTTTTGGTATTCACGAAAATGTATAATTAGTATTAGCAGGAGCCGGTTGTGTTTTAATAAAGAAGTGGAACCGTTGTTTGATCATATTAATTAAACAATTATTAAGCTCACGATCTTTAATGGTCTGTCGATATAAGAGTGTTGTTCGTATATATAAGGTCCAAAACACAAATTCATCGCAAATGATCGGCCACCCAAAAAAGAAATTCCTTCAAGGGGTGCATCTACATCCGCTGGATAAGAATAAATAGCAACACCTACAAAATGCCGATATAAATAAAGGTTGTAATGCTATTTTCTTTTAAGGTGTACGAACGCTAACAAGTAAGTTACCTTGAGTTTCTTCTAGATGTTTGAAATACATGCAACTAGCACCGTTTTATCATTTTGTTCAAGAGATTTTGCATAATCATTTGTTGCCTACATTTCTCTACCAGAAAGAATTAGATACGACACTATCAAATGGTGTGCGCGTAAGAATGTCACTATCAGCTCCAAAATATTTTAAATTTCTAAGGCATGATTTTGGATAATTAGGGCTGCAAATCAACAGATCAACAATATATTGACCGCAATGTAATTCTGGAGTAATTCATTTAGTTTATCATCTAGGACCTGAAAAAATATGACCTAATTTGCATTTACTAAATACTATATATATTTGAAATGATTTTGAATAATCCATTTCAATTAATGGTAGACCCATTCTCACATTCTAAAATTAGTTACGATAAATTCTTTGAATGAGTTTTTTTAAAGGAAAACTGTATTGAAGTGTTAGACATTAAATGTAGAAAATTGTCATATGAAGGCATAATGCATCAAAGTAACTTAATCTAACATGTGAGGTTGATATTCATCATAAGACGATAATTCATGATTAAATCTATTAGAAAATTGTCATATGAAGGCATTAGGCATCAAAGTTTGGCTTAAACAAAACTTTGATTTAATGTATTTTTTTTATTTTCAACTCTAAAGTGTAAGTTGGTTTAGAGAAAGCACTTTAGAAAATAAAAATACATATTGATTTTACATGTTTGATAAAAAAAAAGGGTACCATAATTGAATAGTTCTGTAGGAAACTGAAGTTTTAAGTAGGAATACTTTGCCTATGAATAGGCAGTGAGCAATTTGAAACCGAAAAGGTATATAAGTCTGTGAATGAAACTGAAGTAGCATATTTAGAAAATGTGATCATTGCTTGACATTAAGTCTGTCAAAAATGAAATAACAAATGAAGAAATAATGTAATTTATACCCTTTACTCTATCAAGTTTTACTTTAATGTATTGAAATATTCAAGGCTAAAGGGTCAAATAGGTACATGAACTAACTAAAAGTGTTCAATTAGCCCCATATATGGAAGGTTCTGCCTGACCGTCGGCAATTGGGGCGGTTCCTGGTAGAATTTTTTGATGAATTTTTTTGAGCATCTTCTTCATTAAGTCTAGTTTACCCATTACCAAATTTCGGCTAACAATTCAACCGGGAATGCAGTCAAATGATTTTTTGAAGATAACTGCGCAGTTAAACAACGCAGTGCATTTCGGAAAATCAATTGACTGCCTTCCCGATTTAATTTTTAGCTGAAATTTAATATGGGTAAACTAGACTTAATGAAGAAGATGCTAAAAAAGTTCATTAAAAAATTCAACTGGGAACCGCCCCAATTGGCGACGGCCGGGCAGAACCTCCTATATAAGGGGCTAATTGAACACTTTAAGTTAGTTCATATACCTATTTGACCCTTTAGCCAATATTCAATACAACTTGCTATCATTGATTTTACCCTTGCATTGAAAATTAAACTTTTAATGTTTCAGAAATCAACAAGGCTTAACTGGGAGTTATAGAAGCATACGAATTGAACAACTCGAATGAAAAGAAACCCATATCTTGCAAAAAATGACCTTTCTTTGAGAAAGCAAATAATCTTTTAAATTTCAAGATTTCCATGTAAAATTCGTTTTTAAATGTTAAGTAAAAGAAGGCCTCATTTTTAAATATAAAATCACAGGATGTTGTTTTATTATTTGATTGAAAAGTAGCTTTATGAGAGTAAACGGATTCAAGTAAATTGAATTCTCAGAGTTACCTTCTGTTTTAACAAACAACAATATCACTAATTTATCTAAATATTTATTAACAACTATTAAGAATGAATTAACTCAATTAATGAACAGTTCAATATCAGATGACTGGAGGGATACCTGAACTATGGAAGGCCGGAATGTTAAACTTGAGATGGGCCGATTGGCTGGCCGAACCACCCAAGGGAGAGAGACGGGGTGCAGGGAAGCAGGAATCGGGCGTGAGCGAGGCCAGTAGGCTAATACTGAAAAGTTGTGCTACCGCTGGAGGAGTGCCATTGCAGCCGTGCTGGTGCCTGCGGAAGGGAAGGGAGTTGGCAATTTGGAGGGGCGTTGGACACTTCAACCGTTTGTGGATTTGGATGAGTTAATCCACAAATATCCCGAAATACTAGGCACGAGGCAGCTTGCTGGTGTTAACTTTGTGCCTTGGGCTAGTTGGGCCTGCTAAAATTTATATTGGGCTGAAAATCGGTGTATTATCACCTGTCATGAAAGCTGATACTAGATCTAAAGAGTTTTATTTTTAGGGCCTGCAAGAAGAGTGCTGTGTGTAAAAACCCAAGATTATTACTCCCTCCATCCTATGATGCACAGAAACACGAAAATCATGAGGAAATGGGAAACAGAAAACGTCATTTTTTGCTCAAAAAAGGTTTATTTGGAGTTTCCAAAGAGTTTCCGACAGTTTCCGTGCTACATAGCCTCCGTCCCATTTTATTGATTCAATTGTCCTTTTTTTGTTATTCCAATATAAGTGTTTCCTTTTCTTTTTGGGAAAGAAATATGTGGTCTACACAATTTCACTTTATTATACTCAAACATCAACTATAATTTTTATTTTTTTAATCACTTCATTAATAATCGTGTCAAATCAAACTAGGGTACATAAAATGGGATAGATGTAGTATATCTTTGCCATAATAATGGAAGGCTAAAACCAAAAAGAATGTACTGCCTTTATATCAAAAGACTTTGCCATTTTCAAAACTTTGACCAATTATATACTCAGTATTTTTATTGGAAATTATTTACTCCGTATAATATAAAAATTATAAGAAAATGTTCTTTATTAAAGGTATGAAATTTATAACTTCCATAATATTACATTAATCAAAATTATGGTTCAAATTTTTTGAAATGACAAAGTTTTTAGGACGGAGGTAATATGATACTATTGGGAATTTTCGGTCAATATTAATTGGTTGTGCACTTCGTGAATGTAAAGAAAGTGTGTCGGTAAAGGAAGTGTATTCGTGTTGATAGGGAGAGGAGAATAGTTTGGTAAATGAGGATTTCTTTTTTCCTTTTTAGAGTTGAAATGTGTAACATTCTATCTTAGGGCATCCTCATTGGAAGGATCATTAAGAGATTAAATTGATGACATGGCGGTTTTTTTGGAGGAGTATCATTGAGAGACATTGATTATTTAATGAGATTATTTGCTAGAATAATCCGGGATCAAAATATGAATCCGCATTATTTTAAGATTATTTGAAAAGTATATGTAATACGTTAATGCATGGCTGAGAAAAAAGCGGATTATTTGAAGATGATGGTTGAGATGCATAAACGAATTTTGAGATTAATTAAAAATTAATTATGTAACAATATTTAAAAGGTAAAAATCATAGAATATATTTATTTTTAGAGATTACGAATGGTGATGCTCTTAGATTTTAGAGTAAAGCTGGACTAAATTGAGATTGAAATTATTGATTTACTTTCAAAAATTAATATTCTATCATATTTCTATGTGAAAATGGATCTAAAACATTTTTTTGGTTTTCAAAATCTATTTAATAATATGATCAAGAAAATCTACTTCGTATTTAATAATTTTAAATTCATAGGTTAGTTATACTTTATATTAATGGTCCTTTTCAAAATATGCAAAACAATTAGTTTGACAAAATATGCATTTGAAATGAATAATGCAAGCAATGTAACAAAGATAAGTATAACTCTAGCCGAATAAATATACGAAGTATAAATTAGTTTCATTAGATTAGATAACCTAACAGGCTTTCATGTACGGGAGATCAAACAATACCAAGATGGGTTTTAGGATGTTTTCTTTTGGACTGTTTTCAGTCCCAGACCAGACCAGACCAGACCAGACCAGATCAGACTTAAACAGACCAGACCAGACCAGACCAGACTTAAACAGACCAGACCAGACCAGACCAGACTTCCGTAGTTATAAAATACACAGAGACCAGACGTTTACCAGACCAGACCAGACCAGTTCAGACCAGACCAGACCAGACCAGACTTAAACAGACCAGACCAAACCAGACCAGACCAGACTTAAACAGACCAGACCAGACCAGACCAGACTTAAACAGACCAGACCAGACCAGACCAGCAAATTTCAGTCCAAAAGAAAACATCCTTAGTTTTGGATCCGACTAAAACAAATCAAACAAGATCGAATTAGATTTGGCTTGATTAGACTTAGATAGGAACAAAGTTTACATTATCAGATCCAAAAATTCAGTCTCATTAAAAAAATCTTTAATCACACTTTAATTAGATAGGAGATTTTATTGAATTGTGAATAAAAAATCTTATAATCTCAAATGACGCAAGGTAAATAATTTGATTATGTTAAATAAGTTAATTATTACACTTTTTTATTTTTTAGATATAAAAAATATATGTAACAATCCACTCCATGAAAAACAATTTTTCGCGTGCATCGCACGGGTACTACAAAAATGGTTGAATGCATTTATCCTTCCTTTGATGCTATTCATGAAGATCCCAGTTATTTAGTTATTTAGAAAAGAGCACAATATTGGCACCCACTCTCCAAGTTGTTGATTTCATCAATGACTACATGCTTTCCTTAAATGGTTCTGAGATGAAAACCTACCTTAGTTCTGATAGTTCATGTAAATCACATTCAAATCCTAACTTTTTATAAGATATCCATACTCCAAAATTTTTTAATGTAATTAAAGCTTCAAGAGTACCAAATCATGAACTGCATCTTAAAGTTGGAACACCAGTGATGCCAATGAGGAGCATTGATCATTCTCAAGGGCTGTGTAATGGGACTAGGATGGTTATTACGAGATTAGGTAAGCATATTTTGGAAGCAAAAAATTTTACAGGGTTGAGTGCAATGAGAAGGTTTTGATACCGAGAATGTCTTTGACTCCGTCTGATGTGATATTGCCTTTCAAGTTTGAAAGAAGACAGTTTCTTTTGATTGTCTTATATGCTATGACGATAAATAAGAGTCAAGGACAATCGTTGTCCAATGTTGGATTAGTCTTGAAAAAACCCGTTTTCAGTCATGGTCAGTTATATGTTGCGCTTTCACGAGTCACTAACCATGCGAGTTTGAAAATAGCTATATGTGACGCAAATGGGAAAAGTACAAATGTAACAACGAACTTTGTATTTAAGGAAGTAATCCGAAATTTGTAATAAATTTTGTTTTCATATTGTTATGATTCCAAACTTTTTAAGCAACATTGTTTTGATTGAAATTGATATTATTACACATGATACTCTACTGTATGAATCGAAAGTTATTAAACTTACATATTATTTTTAAATTTCAAATATTTGATTTTTATTGATATTAATACACATGTAACTCTAATGTATGCATCAAAAGTTATTAAACTTATGTATTATTTTTAAATTCCAAATATTTATTTTTTATATTGCGCGGTATATTTTTCCATGTAATTAGAGATGGCAATTTCGGCCGACCCGTTGGATACCCGCACCGAACCGATTTGGTCAAACTGGGGAAACCCGGTGTGACTGGGGAATGGGTACGGGGCGGGGAATACCCGAATTTTTTAAATGGTTAATGGTGCGGATATGGTTCTATACTAATCCACCCCGTTATCCGCCCCGAAACCGCCCCGTTCACTAGTGGTGCGGGTACCCGCACCATTACCCGATCCATAATATTATTAATAAATTATAACTTTTTATATATAAGAATAATAACTATATATGCTAAATTGTGTATAATAAATAGTATATATCATATAAATAATGCTAAAAAGTATACTACTTTTTTAGGCCTAAAACTAAATATAGGCCTAAACCTGTTTTTGAAATTTGGATTCTGGAATGATTACTACTTTTTTATTATGTTACAAGAGATATTGGTTGCATGTCATACTAATGAATTTAGGTCAGTCTGCTTGATTGCTTAAATGTTTACTTTTGTATGTTTTAGAGTGCTTTGAATATATAAATAACAAGCAGGTTTAACAATTGGTTATTTGTTTTCCCAAAAAAGTTGGTTATTTGGCATCACTTGGGGAAACGGTTACCCATGGATAAACCGATTTCCCGTTGGAGCGGGTACGGTTCAAATAAAAATTACCCGAACGGGTAATGGGACGGTTTTGGGGCAAACATTAATCCAACGGGGCGGTTCCGGTTTTATGTGTACCCGTCCCCGATCCGCCCCGTTGCCATCACTAATATTTCTATGTGAAAATGGATCTAAAACATTTTTTTGGTTTTCCAAATCTATTTAATAATATGATCAAAAAATCTACTTCGTATTTAATAATTTAAAATTCATAGGTTAGTTATACTTTATATTAATGGTCCTTTTTCAAAATATGCAAAACAATTAGTTTGACAAAATATGCATTTGAAATGAATAATGCAACAAAGATAAGTATAACTCTAGCCGAATAAATATACGAAGTATAAATTAGTTTCATTAGATTAGATAACCTAACAGGCTTTCATGTACGGGAGATCAAACAATACCAAGACGGGTTTTAGTTTTGGATCCGACTAAAACAAATCAAACAAGATCGAATTAGATTTGGCTTGATTAGACTTAGATAGGAACAAAGTTTACATTATCAGATCCAAAAATTCAGTCTCATTAAAAAAATCTTTAATCACACTTTAATTAGATAGGAGATTTTTTTATTGAATTGTGAATAAAAAAATCTTATAATCTCAAATGACGCAAGGTAAATAATTTGATTACGTTAAATAAGTTAATTATTACACTTTTTTATTTTTTAGATATAAATATATCGCTCAATGTCTGCCGAAGCGGTTTTTTTACTCGTCTCCGGAGCTGTCATACGTTGCCTCCAAGCCGCTCCAAGCCGCGGCTTCATTCTCGCCAAACCGCTGGTACAATTCGAATGAACCAAACCTTTTCTTCGTTTTTTGTGAAGTTGCGATTGGTTGCTTATGTTTAATATTTTTCAAAAAATTTGTTGGATGGCATATTTGAAAAGTTTATTCGAATGAACCAAACCTTTTCTTCGTTTTTTGTGAAGTTGCGATTGGGTGTAGTGACGCTGTTATTTTAGGAAATCTGTGGCACGGGGTTTTTAGGTTGCTTTTGATCTACAGATATGCATTTCTCCATTAGAATTGAATTTGCTTTCAAGTTATGATTGTTTTGGATCTAGACAATTTCCAATTTGCCATTTTGAAAATCAATTACATGTATACATCAATACAAATAGGGTGTGCAAAAGGTATACACCAAAATTTCGTTGACGTAAGAATTTCAGATGAACACTGTCGTCAACTATCTAAGGGATTGGTCAGTCATCATCACGGGCTTGGTCTCAGGAAAAATTGTAAAACTTACAAAAGTAATTAAATGAAATTAGAGCCATAGTTATAAAAAAATTAGTTGAGTCCATTTTATGGTAAATCATCAACAATAGCATCATGATCAAACGTACATATAACATTTCTTCAAAAAATTGATTGTTCACTTGGTGGTATATTACTTTTCGGAGTACATTCCGGATTTAAATAATATTTAACACAGTACTCACATGGTTTTCTATTAATCGGTTAATCCATTATAATCTTTCTTCTCGTTTTCTTATCGAGACTCAAGCTGTCAAGCATCTAGTAGACACCCTGAAATTTATTATTTTACAGATAATGCAATTGATATCTAATGCACACTAGAAGAAATCAACTAAACCCCAAATTTACACAATAACGTAACAAAAAATAACAATTCAGTAAGATAGTAAGTTGTAATCAAATGATTGAATAATTACAAACGTAAGTCACAAGTCACACAACTACTCAACCAATATAATTTTAAAATACTACTACGTATAAAATTTGGTAATACTAATTGTAACTCATTCCGTTAATAAATCAAAATATAGAGCACAAATGAAAAATTAGTACTACGTAATACATTTTTCAAAAAGATGGGAATTTTCCCCATGGGCCCCACACACTTTTTTCTCATTTGTGGCTCCTCTTCCACGTTCGCATGCCATCCTCCCGCCGGGTGAATAGGGGTGACAAATCCCCCACCCCAAGCACCAAGGTGCCCTTTCAAGCGTGAAGTGTCCCTTCAGAAGACTAGAGTTGTAGAGTTCTCACCTATTGTTTAAAAAACCGATCCGACCCGACCGGGTTGACCCGGAACCCGGTTACCCGAACAAAAAACCGGTTCGGTCTTTTCAAAACCCGGAAATGGTCAAAAACCGGAAAAACTCGGTTGACCCGGGAAAACCCGGTCAAGACCCGGACCCAAAAAACCCGAAAACCCGGTAAAACCCAGATTTTGGGTGTTTTTACCAAAAAAAAGTAATTTCTTTTTTATTTTTGATGCATTTTTTATACCAATAAAATTGCAATTTCAATACCTTAAAAAGAAAAACTGCGTAATATATTTATATATTTATTTAAGAATGAACATCATGCCAAATTATAATATAGATGTACAATAAAAATAAAAATATCATTATATATGTTTATAAGATCAAAATATACATTGAAATATTATGAGTGTATTAAATGCTTAATAAGTAGTATTGTTAGTTGATTATTATGAATAATAACTAATTTTTATTATAATTTTATATATAATTATATGTTTACTATTATTATATAGACGTATAATCATTCACCAATTTTCCGGCGTTGACCGGGTTGACCCACCGGGTCCGGGTTGACCCGTGACCCAGTCATGTGGCCGGGTCACTCTCAGGTCCGGTTTTTACAACATAGGTTACGTTCTCACTTCCCACGCTTGTTTATTCTTTCTTCTAAAAAGTAAAAAGTCATTTAATTTCAGGGAAATTCTATTCACAACCCACTTTTTACTAAACACAGCCACTAAATTAAATAAAAATAATTAAAAACAAATCAAATATCTAAATTACCCTTAATGATATTTAACGATCGCTTAAGTGATCGACTAATCCTTGTTGCTCGAAGGCTTAGCGCAAAGCTGAAACACAAAAACGCAGACCGAAGACCTGGGGATTTACGCAGGTCCAAATTATGGAGTATATTTTAGTGCTCCAAAACTTTGATCTTTTCAAGACAATTCTTCATCTGCTGCTCCACATCTCCATTAAGATTGCTTCCACCTAGCAACTTATAGTGCTCAAACTTTGACATTTCACACTTCAAATCAGCATTTTTGCAGGCCTTGATACTTCCTACGGAGTATTATATTATCATCACAAAATAAGAGTGCAGGTGATATGAAAAATCCTACATCGTCATGAGAGTGAAATAGAGGAGTTGTTGAGCTTACCATCAGATCCAATAAGTTGAATACCACCTGGCAGTTCCCTATATTCCTAATTAAGGTGAGTGTAGCTCAATTTTTCTTATAATCTTCCCTGGATGCTCTGATGATGATAACTTTTGTTACAAGGTTGACATACTTCACTACACCAAAAGATGAAGCATTGACAAAACTAGACTTAATGAATAAGATGCTCAAAAAATTTTATCAAAAAATTCTCCTGGGAGCCACCTCAAATGGCACGTTCGGACAAAATCTTCTATATAAGGACTTATTTGACCCCTTTTTGCAACTTCGAGGACTAAACTAACCCTTTACCCTATAACCCATGAATCAATTTCCTTTGAAAATTCTAAACTAAAAAGAGTAAACAATTCATGATATTTACAAGTCTTGGATTGATAGTTTTCAATCATAGAGATCCTAAAATGATACGGAGTAGTTTTTCTCTTTCACGTGGTCCTGTACTGATATAGAACCTACCTTTGGGGTCTTGAATTGACAGAACTCCAATAAATGAATGAGGTTTTTATAAGAATATTACTAAAATAAAACTTATTTACACAAATATGACTATTCATTACTACAACGTAGTGTTGTAGTAACTTAAGTTCAAAACTTGAACATGAATTACTATAATTTCATTACTACTTTAATAACTAGTTATATTATTGTAAACTATATTTATTTTGGTCATATTTATGTAATTATTTCTAAATGAATAATGTACACCCCTAAGTTACAAAGTACCCTATTCTTTACCATAAGTAAAGCACTAACAAACAGGGAACATCACTCAAATACTATGGTGATAAGTGAAAATTAGAAATATATATCCTGTTCCACTTACCTTGAAATGAGTTGAGCGAAAAGGCTAGACCACACTCTCCAAATTTCACAAGAATGTCATCTTTCACAAGATTTTGAGAGATTGAATTGTGTGATAATAATAGGGTCCTTTCCCTGTTTCCCACAATATCTTTATTTGGATCCAAAAATACTTCCATCACCATGTATTTATTCTTGAACCCCCACCATGCTGAGCTCACAATCTAGCAAGCTACAAATAATAATGAAAAAGGATAAGCATAGTGAAACTGCAGTATGCGGCAAAGACAAGTACCTAGATATAACCAGTAGTCACTTCAATATCATCAAAACGATGAACGTATGAAACTGTTATTAGTACAGAATGGAAATACAAAACACTATGCCACTGGGTAATTTATGGGTAAAGATGCTTAGTTCACAGCTAGTTAGAGAAGAAAGAATCAATGCATTAGAGAAATTAGACGAAATAATCAATTAATTAGTGAAATATTGAAAATAGAAATTAAATAAACTTAGACAGATATATCAACTAATTATTGAGATAGAGCTTGTTGCAGTAGAATTTAGGGTCAAGACAAGGGAACCTGGCGACCTGATAAAGAGGATATGAATGATCAACTGGAACCAGCGATACTTATGACAGATGTAGCGGCGTCGGAGGCGGGGCAGAGGCACAACAGAGACATTGACTGCGTTGGAATCACAATAGCCAGCAGCACATCAAGTGGCGAGGGCTTTGTACGATCATCTTGCTCCGGAGTTGGAAGCACAGCAGTGCAATGGTAGCGGCGTCAAAGGTGGTGGCGTGGAGGTAGCTCGGGACTGCTAGCTCGACTTTCAGATTTGGTGTCTTTCATAGATATGGAAACGATCTGGCTTCCTTACTCCTCCTTTAGGAAAGTTAGCCGGCAGGCGGAAGAAGGAGAAGATGTTCTACGGAAATAGATGGGCGTTAAATAACGAGGGTAGAAATGGAATTATGAAATTAAACGAAAATGGGTGTGTGTATATAGCAAAATGGGGACCGTGAATAGAATTGCCCTTAATTTCACACTGAAATAAAAAATAAGCCTACCGATAACTACTCCCTCCGTCCCGGGGAGAAGTTCCCGGGTTGACTTTCACACATTTTTAGGAAATAAAGTTACTGAGGGGTAAATTTTACTGTTTAGCACTGTTTCGACACTGTTTGGCACTGTTTCGACACTGTTTGGCACTGTTTTGCACTGTTTGGCACTGTTTTAATGTAGGATAACTTTCCATTTAGGGAAATGGGAAGTTTCTTTTGGGACATCCAAATAAGGAAATTGGGAACTTCTCCCCGGGACGGAGGGAGTAATACTCTAATAGTGAGTCAAATAGCATATATTGGTTCTAATTATTTTTTACTGTTTTTGGGCTTAGGGCCTACGCCCCTATTGCTCCCCAGGGCCGCCCTTGACATAAGGATTAACAACGGGCTGGGCAGGGCTACACCGGCCCAAAACTAACGGGTTTGGGCTGGGTTCAATATACTACGTATAAGAATTAATTATAGGCCGGGCTGGGGTGGACTGGGCTTTTGTATTAAAATTGTAGTTGTAACATGTCTATAAAGTTTAGCAATCTAACTCGGCCCGTCTGTCCATGTAGCGATCTAACTCGGTTTGTCCTGTTTTCCTGAGTTACTTGGCGAGTTCTTGACTCGGAGAAAATTTTGTCTAACTCGGCCAGTTACTCAGCTAGTCATAAACTATATTTTTTGTTAAATATGAAAAGTTTTAATTAAAGAGGTATATTATGGATTAATGAATAATGAGTGGGTGTTTAAAAAATGGAAATTAACCTTAATTAAAAAGTATAGGTTTAAATGTATTTCATACATCAGCTCATTCCAGGCTTCCAACGGTGGTTCCTCCTCATCTCTTGGTAAGTTATTGCCTCCATGATTCTATATTCTTTCTCATTCCTCCATGAATTATTATTATTAAATTCATATCTCAGAATTATAGAATTATAATTTGGGACATTAACATTTTTAACATTAATTAATATAGGATTGAGTAGTAATCGAGTAATCTTGAGTACTCTCCTACTCGTTGCTTGGCCCTTGACCGAGTTGCTACCGAGTAGCCTTTTACTTACTTAGGCTGCACTGGCTCGTGACCCTCAAGTGCCGGACTGGGCTTTTTGGCAATTGGGATGAATAGGCTCCTATGGGCTCATGAGCACATAGCCTAAATGATTTTTATTACCCTCCTGAAAGATAGGAAAAGACATTTGTGGAAATTACCAAAAACAAACATTTGGTTTTGGTAGAGTGAAAGCTTTGAAATTGTGATCTTATAGGTGTGAAGCTATTTCCAGACAGTAGATGTAACTCTATTGACTGCGTTGAACTGCCCGGGTTTGAGGTTGAACAGATAAACCTGAACCAAGAATGGTTCAGTAGTATTTCCTGTTTTTTTTAGTAAAATTGACTTTCATAATACACATTCTTGTTTGAACATTTAAATGAATATCATCAGTGTGTTCTGAAATAACTCTCAGGTTTTAGGCAGACAAAATTATGAGTGGAGATGCAAGTGGTGGTGTTTTGCAGTATCGTGCATTGTTGAGCATCGAGTATGTTTGAGTGTTGTTGGGGATAAACAATTCGTTGGTGGCATTTATGGAACAGTGCAGGTCAAGGACTGGATGGGCTTGCACCCTGTGTATGAAAGGAGCTCAGTACACTCAGAGAAGAGAAGTCTGGGAGATGATTTAACACTAATTGGCCCTTCCCACAAATTTGGCATCAGTGGTTACGACTGCAAATCTATTTGTGTCAATTTACGAGGGGTGGACCCTGACTTCGAGATTGCTCGAGGAGATGTTGTTTGGGAACCGAGAACGGAGAATGTAACTTTCGCCAACTATGACAAACGGCTGGAGAGAGTAGTGACTGGAGAAATGGCAGCGTTGCAGTGGGTTATTCGGTCATAACCTATGCCCTCAATGCAGCAGTCAAGGTGGTTCTACTCAACACTGGCCAGAATAATGAAGAAAAACCAGCAAATGTGTATGATCTGATATGACTATGGAAGTCTGATATGATTTGATATGATTTGGTCTGGTATGATCTGATCTGGTCTGATATCGAAAACTGTTCAAAAGAAAACACATATAATCAACAAGTAACATAAGTGACGAAAATTAAAGGTATAACTAAAATAGTTTTTAACGAGTTTCCACTTTTCTACTGATGTTTAAAATAACTATGAGGGGTTACGTTTTTTTCCATTGTGTATTATTATTATTTATTATTATCCATTGTGTAAAGTAAAAAAATGCCTTTTATTCTTTAATTTTAGGTAGTTTATAGCATTTAATAAATCAAATTAACTGACGTGTCAATCCATTATTGGTTACTAAGAATTCTGATATCACTCTTATTAAAACATTTGATTAGTATCGCAAATGAGTGCCACAAGGGTTAGGTCTCGGGTTCGAATCCCATCAACTGCGATGAGAGGTTACTATGCTAAAAAATGCATAGGGCCTCTTCAAGTACCGGGGACAGAGCCCCACTCTCTATCTATCAGATCGTGATTATAGTTCAATTTACATCCTCCTAACGTACCGTCCGGTCGGTGTTGGGGGGCCCTCAGGGATGGGGTGTCATCATTTTTTTATTAGTATCGCAAGTTCACACAAACACACGATCCATCACTAACTATTTACCTTAATTAGGCCAACTCATTTGGAGAAAAGGGAAGAGAAGAAATCTCTTATTTTTAGAGTGACATAATTTTTTTTATTTGTACTCCATTTTTTATAAAAAGAATGTATCAAATTTCATAAATCTTTATCATCTTTCATATGACATCAATATTACATAGGTAAAATAAGAAAAAAAAAATGAATATCCAATTGATGGAGATTATAGTTCTAGAATTTTTAGGTCAATAAAGACCAGTAAATTCTGATATCAAAATTAAGATTTCGTAATTAAATTTTACATTTTCCAGGTACTTTTCAAAAAAAAAAAAAAAATCTAAAACACCAAATTCCTTAATTATTATATACTGTTCTATTACTTCTATTTAGTAAACACCGGATTCATTTTTGATAACTTACGCATGCATGGCATGCATGCGTGTGCATAACATATGCTATATGTATGATGTATATCTTCAGCATGTTTAAATTAATATTTAATTATTGTAAATATTATCCCCTTAGTTTAGCATGCATACGGTTAGGCTATAGTAAGTCCGTGTTTAAAGCCTATACGGCACTTAGACTCTTAGCCTCTCAAGCTCTGTAGATAGAATTATACATTCCGATTTGTAAGCAACTGCATACATTGTATTTTGTTTGGGGGACAGACATTTTGAAAATGCAGTGTCTGTCTAGCCTAAAGTGAAAGTGGTTTCATAGTTGTTTGAAGTGAACATGGTTTTATATGAGTTAGAGTCGCACATAAAATGTGTGTGTGACCAGACAACTTTTATGTATGATATAAAAGTGAATAATTGATTAGTTTGTTTCATTGTAATGATTTTGAGGTGTTAATTAATTAAAATTTTAGTGTAATTTCTCTAATTCATTTTATGCCCATAACATGTTTGTAGAAATTACTCAATGAAGTTTTTGTGGAAATTCAAGACTTTTTTCCATTCTTTACTTGATCTTCTTGGATGGATATCATGGGAAAGGAAGTATCCCACTTTAGTGATGAGGTTCTTTTGGATGGCTTGACATGGGGAGATGAAGGTGACAAGGTTGATTAACTACTCTTTGTCTTACAGCCAGACAAATTTTGTCTGAGCCAGACATTAGTAGTCTGTGCCAATTAACTACTCTCTGTCTTACAGCCAGACAAATTTTGTCTGGGCCAGACATTAGTAGTCTGTGCCACTTAACTACTCTCTGTCTTACAGCCAGACAAATTTTGTCTGGGCCAGACATTAGTAGTCTGGGCCAATTAACTACTCTCTGTCTCACGGCCCGACAAAAGTTGGTTGTGCCAGACAATAGATGTCTCTTCCAGACAAATTGACTATGCACAATCTTATTTTACAAATGTATTTTATAGTATGTGTGATGACTTTTGTGATGTCTCTCTTCGGATGTTGAAAATTGGTTTGTAGTTGTCTGTGAAGTGAAAAGAGTTGTCTGGCATTCCATTTGAATTGTCTGAATGTGATATAAAATGTCTGGCCTTTCTTCTGAATTGTCTGTCTACAGGTCGGGAGAATGTGGAGTGATTGTGGCTTCCTTTGCAGAGCACCTGTTAATGGGAAAGCCATTGATTCTAGGTTGTGAGTATGCAAACACGTGGAACTAGAGATTTCAATACGTCGTTCGTTTGTGGCGATTGGAGAAGGTGGAGGAAGCATAAGTTTAGTAATTAATGTGGGAATGTGTTTTTGTGGGTTGTTTTGATGGGTTTAGTAAAACTGTATTTTATAGTACATTTTGATTAGTTTAGTAATTGTTAATGTGGTTATATAAAAGTGTTCGGAGATATGATTGTATTTGTTAATGTACAGAGATAACCGTTGAATAGACAAACAATAGAGATAACCAGACAGACATTACTTTCACGCAGAAAGACAATAACTTTACACATACAGACCATACCGCAGATACCCAGACAAACAAAAGGTCAACATACATAAGTGGATGATTGTACATGTAATGTTTGCAAAAACTTACACATGTTCAAAAAACTGAATCCAATTGCTCACCATTGAACATGTAACATTGTACAATACTCAACACATTTTCCCAATTGTAATATGAAAAAAAATACATGCTCAAAAATTCACAAGTTCAAAACGGACTCATTTTCCCAACACTCTATACTTCAGCATTCTTCAAGACTAGTTTATATAATCCTTGCATTTGTTTCTCCATTGCAAAAGAAGTCACACATGGTATAATTTTGTAAATGAATTAGCGTCCGCTTGGAACTCTTTTTCAACCTTACATTTTAAGTCATTCGTCATCTTGAAGTGAATACATGCGATTAATACACAACACATAGTCAGAACACATATTTGGTACAAATAACATATGTGAGGCATAGTCAATTTGTCTGGCACAACCAACTTTTGTCGGGCCGTGAGATAGAGAGTAGTTAATTGGCCCAGACTACTAATGTCTGGCCCAGACAAAATTTGTCTGGCTGTAAGACAGAGAGTACTTAAGTGGCACAGACTACTAATGTCTGGCCCAGACAAAATTTGTCTGGCTGTAAGACAGAGAGTAGTTAATTGGCACAGACTATTAATGTCTGGCCCAGACAAAATTTGTCTGGCTGTAAGACAAAGAGTAGTTAATCAACCTTGTCACCTTCATCTCCCCATGTCAAGCCATCCAAAAGAACCTCATCACTAAAGTGGGATACTTCCTTTCCCATGATATCCATCCAAGAAGATCAAGGAAAGAATGGAAAAAAGTCTTGAATTTCAACAAAAACTTCATTGAGTAATTTCTACAAACATGTTATGGGCATAAAATGAATTAGAGAAATTACACTAAAATTTTAATTAATTAACACCTCAAAATCATTACAATGAAACAAACTAATCAATTATTCACTTTTATATCATACATAAAAGTTGTCTGGTCACACACACATTTTATGTGCGACTCTAACTCATATAAAACCATGTTCACTTCAAACAACTATGAAACCGCTTTCACTTTAGGCTAGACAGACACTGCATTTCCAAAATGTCTGTCCGCCAAACAAAATACAAACAAATGACAAAAAACAACATACTCTTCTCCAAGACTTCAACGTCCACACCTTCATCATCTTCTTCCATTGAAGTCGTCGCTACTTCAACAGCGACCGGAGATGGCAGATTTCCACCTTCACCCACGTCATCAAGCTTGTGACCTTCATCTTCCCATGTCAAGCCATCCAAAACAACCCATCGCTAAACTCGGATACTTCCTTCCCCATATATCCATCCAAGAAGATGAAAGAAAGAAGCAGGTGAGAGGATGGGTTGAGCACTGTAGCAAGTTTTGAAGGAGGAGAGGTGTTTTGGCGTAAAGTTGAGGAGTGGGTTGGGGAGATGTGAGAGAGGTGAGAGAAAAGTATTTTTGGAAAGGAGTAAAAAGGATGGTAAAAAAAATGGGGTATTTATATGGGGTAGGAAATGGGGTAAACTTGTGGTACCTATAGCATTTTTGATAAGAGAAATACCACACGGTGAAAATTTCCCAAAGTTCAATTTGGTATCAGACGCTTTTTTTTTCCTTTTCTCTCTTCTTTCATGGCTTCTTCCAAATCCGCCTTTCACCCGGCTTTAGCCATTTCCAACATCAAAAATTTTATTCCTATCACACTCGACCTTGACAATTGTGATTACTCTTCCTGGGCAGAGTTATTCAAGATCACGGCTCGAGCCTACCAGGTACTTGATCACATCATCCCTTGCACGGCTGATACCGCCTCCGCCTCCACCGACTCCTCTCTCACTCTTGAACAACGTCAGGCTCTTGACGCTGCCAAAGCCGAGGCGGACGCCCTATGGTCTCGTCTCGATGCCATTGTGTTGCAATGGATCTACGGGACCATCTCCCATGATCTGTTACACACGATCATCGAGGTTGATTCCACCGCCCAAGACGCGTGGGATTCTATTGCCGATTTATTTCAAGATAACAAGCACTCCCGTGCGGTTTATTTGGAGACTGAATTCTCTAATATGCGCCTTGATCAATTCCCGGACGTCGCATCATTCTGTCGAGCCTTGAAAACCCTCTCCACCAAACTCAAAAATGTCGGGGCCAAGGTTGGGAATGACCGTCTTGTTCTTCGGATGGTCCACGGTCTCTCATCCGTTCCGGGGTTTGATACGGTGGCTTCCTTAATTCAGCAAAAGGAACCTCTCCCCCCCTTCACCAAAGCCCGCTCGATGGTCATTCTTGATGAGTCCCGCCGCAATCAATCCCACACCCCTGCCACTACACTGGTTCATACCGGTGATATCACACCACCTTCACCTACTTCGTCCCGCGTAGGTCGCGGTGGCTCAAACCGCGGTGGGGGTCGGGGACGCTCTTCTTCTCAACGCGGCGGCGGTGGGCGCGGACGGCAACCGGCCCGTGTGGATCCCGCTCCTTCTGCTGGGCAGTGGCCCCAACCACCGCCATGGGCCTACTGGTTACAGCCACCGGCGTGGGCTGTCCCTCCATGCCCGTACCCTGGTTATGCTTGGAACAACCAGCCTGGTCCACGTCCTCCTACTGCCGCCGGAATTCTGGGACCACGCCCACAACAAGCTCACATGGCAGCCACTTC